TATTATAAGACTTGTCTGTGGATGCATAACATTCACCTCAACCCCTGACCCCTGTGAATTTGGCTCCCGGCTGGAATCCTGGCAGACAGCGACCTGTCAGCAATTTAATGGAAGAATCCTGCCATCATCTGTTTCAAGCTCTCTGAACAGGAAAACGAGATGAGGGTTTCGTATTTCAAAGAACAATACAGCTCAGAGATGGTTTTTTAAATTGAAATTCTGGCTGTGAGAGTCATTAAATATAGTTCTGCTTCTCTTCTAGACTGTAAGATCAAACAGCACAGTTAATAGGAGGAATATTTGCTGACTTACAGTACATATACAATTTTTGCAGATCAGTTGGCTTCATTCTGCAACTTACTATAAAAAGGACATAAAAATATTATTGACATGTCTGGTTTTGTACTGAAAAAATCCTATGCTAAAACATTTTTTTCGCAAACTGTTTCTGAACATTTTCTTCATTGATATTTGGGCTCTAAAACTTGTTTTTCTGGAGTCTGTTGATAGGTGATTGAAGAGATTGCATGGAAAATTATCTCAGTTTTGACTTAGTGAACAGTATTTTATTTGAAGGATGTGGTATGAAAATTATTAATTTTCTCCATAATCCAGTCTTGTAACGGTGAAAATCCCATAAAAAGTTATACATAATCTAGGAGCATCCAAGACCACAATCCAGAAATCTTGACTTCATGCTCACTACAAAAGAGCAAAATTTTCACTAAATTCATTAGGGCATGGTCTTTCACCTTACGATAGAAATCACATTACAAAAAAACCCCTGCCCTACTCACGGCCTGTAAAAGGCAGACAGTTTATATCCAGTTTATCACGTTAGCTTCACAAAACCCAAGCCACAAAATATGGACCAGACAGTTTAATGCATCTGGGTACCTAAACTGAGAATTATTTAAACTTACAAATGATTACACCAGTATTTCTTCATAAGACATTATTTATCTTGTTTTCAATGAAAGAAATCTCCAAGCTAATGGAATGCTGAATGCTTTCTCTGTAAATTATCTGAAGATTAATTAGGAAATATTAAAAAATGCAAGATATGCATAATTTACATAACATATACCAAAAGAATCTGAAAATTTTTGAGACACAGGACTGTCAAGCATGAAGGACAATTTTGGGATATATCAAAATGGAGGAATCATAATAAATAGGTATGGGATCTGGTAAGAAACATGCAGAATCAAGTCATCACAGCACAAATCCTAAGAGGCTGTCTACTGCACAGAAAAAACCTCTGGATCATAAGAATTCATCAGCACAGTAATTTGGGGAGTCTCATCCAATCCATTGGAATTACCATTGCAAGGACCCTTGCAACAAAGATTTCTGGCACCGTTTAGTCTGGACTGACTGTCCTTTTCAAGAGGTTTGATTCCCTCTGTGAGAGCTACCCTCTGCAAAGACCCTATGAACTTGTTTTCTAAGTAACGTTGAGTGTTTGTGCAACATTTGACAGGAAGGAAAAGACAGGATTTAAAATCTTGATGTAAATACTTCCATCATAGTTATTGAGCACTGTAGGTGAAGCTGGTATTCTGGTGTTGCTAGTGCTTTGTGCCTCTTCACAAAGAAATAGAATCATAGAATCACAGAATCATAGAATGGGTTGGGTTAGAAGGGATCTGCTATAGGCAGGAACAACTTCAACTAGATCAGGTTGCCCAAAGCCCCATCCAACATGACCTTGAACATTTCCAGGCACTGAACATTCACAGCTTCTCTGGGCAGCTTTTTCCGGTGTCTCACCACTCTCATTGTAAAGAATTTATTCCTTATATCCTTATATATACCCTCTTTCAGTTTGCAACTCTTGCCCCTTATACTGCCACTTCAGGACCTGGTAAAAATTCTTTCTCCATCTTTTTTATAAGTCTCCTTTAAATATTGAAAGGCTGCATTAAGGTCTCCCTGGAGACTTCTTTTCTTCAGGATAAACCTAGAATCTCAAATACCCTCTAGAAACATAAAAAAAAGTCCTACTACTATATTTCAGCAAAGACATGATGGAGAAACCTGACTTGCTGCAATGTACAGAACTGTGGGATGAATGTCCTAGGAATCATACAAACATACATGACCAAGGACAGCAGTTCTGACTCACTTGAAGCTCAGATGAGTCCTTGCAGCATGACTCACTAGGTTTAGCAGAACAGTTCAAGCAAGGAGTTAAGCCTCTGCAGTGGAAATGTACATACAGAAGAAACCCTTCTAAAGAAAATTGCAATATCATAGCTGGGAAGTCCAATGATTTTAAGAACTACATGTTAGAAAATCAGTATTTCTACACTGTCAGAGTTTTCTATCAAAAATTTAGAGCTTAATAAATCCTAAGCCTGCTTTCTGATGTTGAGCCCTCACATTCTTTTAGGCTCAAGGTCCACTTTGCCCTGAACCATTTCTGTAGCTAAATTGAGTTTTGTCACCTCTAGGGCTTTAAAATCGGTCTTTTAAAAACGCTGAACCACCTACTAAGGAGTAGTGGCTAGGTCCTATTTTTCTTTGTGAGACTTTGTAACTAATGTATAATAAAAGTTCTCTTTCTGAGATTGTGTGTAGCAACTGGATAGAAGATCAGAGCTGCTACTGGAGAAATGCCATTTATAGAGGGTGAGAAAGTAGACTTGGCGAAGAGCTCTGGCTGTACCAAGTAGGTCCCACTGGCAGATGAAACTTTAGCAAGCTGTCTGAGTTATCTTATTATGCATCTGCTCCTCATAGTTTGTCAAGGCACCCGGGGCATTGGTTAGTCTGACAGAGCTGTGAGATTCAAGTTAAATTACACCCCAAGCCAGCACTATATATGCTGAAATAATAGTTCTTCTTCTCCTATTATGGGATTATTATGAGATTTAAATTCATGCATTATTAGAATTTGCTGTTCAGATAATGATGCTGTTTTAATGGGTTCGCTGAATAGTTTTCATGTAAGTTCTAGTTTCATAGTTTCTATACAGCATAAACAATAAGAATGGTATTGATAATGAAAGCTTTGCAGTAATTACTGTCCAAAAATGTTTATATTTTGAGAAGGTACTGCTTCTAGTGAAATTTTCAGAGTGGTTTTTTTTTCTTTTTAATATCTGTGCTGCATTTTAAAGCTTAATAAGTTTATTTTCTGAATCAATAATCCACCTTCTTCTGAGGTTGTGTGCTAAGTAAACTTATTTGTATTAAAGATGGTGACATTTTAACAAAGTTTGGCTGCAAGATTTGTTCAGTACTTTTGCCAAGTGAAGCAGCAGTATGCATCACTTGAAGAGTTCTTAAACATGCTTTATAAAATTTTTATTTTGGTGCCATGGACACCTCTCCAGCTGTTCTTTCCACTGTTTTCTTGTAGAGTGAAACAACTGTATTGGTTTGTAGCTTTGACTCACTTATTTGGAGAAATTAAGATATCCTTGAACGTATAGAATGGTTATAGAAGTGAAGTTTGCATTCCTGGCCACTGCTACTCCTCCTGGCAGCCTAATTCTTCATCAGAGCAAGTATATCCTTCCATATAAATTATAGAGCACATGAGCTCTCTCAATCCATCTAAACATATACCTTTGCTGTGGCCCCCCAGACCTTGAAACCTCCAGTGCTTTTCCCTCCTAAATGAGTGGCTCCTGTCATTCCAGTGCCCCTCACCATATGGGCCAATGTGCAATCCATTTTCAAAGCATCAACTTGTGCAGGTTGCATGGAGTTTAAAACAATCAAGAGTCAATTCACTCCTGGATGCTCTGTATATTGCTTTGACTGTGGCCAAGATAATTTCTGGCCTCACTGTTTCCTGGGAGTGAGACAGATTCACCAATATGCATGTTAGGGTGAGCTGCCAAAAGAATGTTAACTGGTGTTGAAGTGGTGCCAGGGAGCATGGAAATGAGCAAGGGGGCAACTGGCAAGTACTGGACCCTCCATATAAAAAATTAAAGACTTCTGTTTGCAAGCATGAAAAGAGAGTGTGAAGAGGTGAAGGAGACCTTTATCAAACCAAGAACAGGTGACAGTGCTCAGGGAAAATGGCATTGACAAAAGGGAGCAGTGCTTACTACAACTGAAGTTTTTTGTTAGAGGGCCAGGAAGCAGCTATTGGCTGAAAAGGAATCAGTCACCTCCATCATAACATTGATGCATGGCCGAGTGTGCATGCAAAGAAGTCACAGTGTTGTGGGTATCCAAGGGTGGTTAATATGACCTCTTCCCCTGACATGACCTAAGTTAATATGACCTATTAAAACGTAATTAATAACTTATTTCCCAGAGATTGTCAGGAAAATGAATCAGGTGCTTGTGGACATGATGAATTGTCCTTTGGGTGCAGATAAGATATATAGGGATAGAAAGAGCTCTATTTGATGACGTGAATTAATCATTAAAATTTATAGATTTTTGACAGGACATTGAAACCCTAAATTACATTAATTTGATACTCGAAAGATCAAATGTATAGAAAAGGAGAGTTCCAAACTTTTTTAAACATGAGGGGAGATATTATTTGTTAATTTCTTAGAGAAGATTAATTTAATCACAGAATCACAGAACAAAATTTGGAACTCTACTTTTCTATATATTTGATCTCTCAAGTGTCAACGACTATGCAACAGAATTCAGTTATAGGTCTGTGGATCCTTCTTTGAACAGTGACAGTCGCGAGATCTGTCTAGAAGTAGCCAAGAGGCCAAGCTAGCTGGGGTGAATATTATTAGGCAAGTCACCTAAGACTAGGGCAAGTGGGCAATACAAAGAAGCTGATGGTGGAAGATGAGCTGCCTGGGTGATAGAGGGTTAGATGGTACTGTGTCTCTGGATTGCTTGTGTGGCCAGAAGTTTTCTAGACTGAGGAAGTATCATGGTGGTTGACATCTGGGATGTGAATGAGCATGTTAAGATTTGTGATTTCTTTGCATTGAAATGATCAAAGACTAAAAACTGGAGGCTTGAAATCTTATTGTGTAAAAACCAATTTATATTCTGAACTCTAGGGGAGATTTCAGGATAGGACTCTGGATCCCACTGGATGAATAAAAACCACAAAGCAAATCACAGGGGTAAGTAGACACCCTACCAGGAACAGGAAAAAGTCCCACTCAGCAATCCAATTATGTTTAGGAGATCAAGAAGTATGGTGGTAATGTGAGACATGCCAAAAGCCAGTCTGAGCCAGACTTTGTAAAGGAAATTAAACAAATAGCAAAAGATTATTCAGCTGTATAAATAAAAAAGAAGACAGGAAAGCATAAGTGAGTCCACTACACAATAATGACAGAGCAGAGATTAAAGGTAATCTTGCCATGTCCTCAAAAGTAAATGAACACAAACTGATGCCCCTGGAGTCTTAATAAGAGCAATTTCTTCTGTAGGCTGGTGTTCATTAGCTGTCATTGGTACAAGAGTCAAAAACCTGATGTTTGTGTCAACACAAGTCTTGCATGGACCCCAGTGAGACGTTTATCAATCATTAGTAACTCTAATTTGTTATCAGCATAGGTGTAGAGCTGAGTAATATTGACATGAAAAGTCATCATTAACTTGACAGATAAGCGGCTCAATTGCAGTTGTGTAAAAAGAAGTGAAAGTTGGATTGAGGGGTTTTGGCTATATGTGTATTTGGCAAAATCTTACAAACTACAGCTATTTTGTCAGTGAATGGATAAATAACCACTAACAATGTAAATAATATGTACATTCTGAACTTGGATCTCTTTTTTCACCTCTGGTTGCCCTTGTTTGTCAATGTTGTTGTTGCATGGCAGATAGAGATGTGAGGCTAGATGGAGTGTTCTTATTTACTGAGTTTGCAAGATTTTCAGAGTGGGACAGCATTAACTTTCCCAATATCCAGAGTCAAATATGTCTAAAGTATTATATATTTCAATTAAACAGTGCTTACTAATTCCCTCCTGCAGTTTTTCAGTTGCATAGATACTGAACTGACACAAATAAGTTTGCCTTCTTGTAGCACACTTTGTATAGCAGCAGTTTTCAATGCTGAATCAAGTCCCTTTCATGGAGATAGTTTGAATGGAGCATTGCTAAAACTGATGTGGTGGTTCCTGTTACATGGATGTAGTGAAAAAGCCATATTGAAGAAGGATAAAGAATACTTTGAAAAGGTTTTTTGTACCTCTTTGTGAAGATGATTTACTGTCTTCAATGCATGAGCTCCTACACATCGAATCAATATCCAGGTCTGAATGTACTGGACTGTTGTCTCACACACAAGAGCCGGTGTCACCAAACCTGACCTTAAAACTGCTGAAGTGATCTAGAAAATTTCTTCCATTTACACCAGCTGACTTTTTGGTCTTTTAGAGATTGGAACAGGTCAGGCATGTAAAGTGTGGAGGAGAGAAATTAGAATTTCCAGTTTTCAGATGGAGTTAGGAGGATATAAGAGGTTTAATAATTGTCTGAGACTTCACTATTCCACTGAGATGGAACAGTGTGTCCAGTCTAGGATCCTATGCCCCCAAGCACATCCCTTCACTCAAATAACATGGTGTTATTAGTTCAAAATAGTTGACTGTTTAGTAGTATAGGCTAATCACAAACGAAGCACTAACACAAGCACAGAAATGCCACTTTAATGCCTGTACTGTTCCATCAGCATCCAATAGTTCCAAAAGGAACTAGGAAGCACAAACAAAGACACTGGTAGTTCTTTGGAAAACAATTCCTAGAGTACTTCAACTTAATACTGTGCAAAGGTACTCCCTCAGTGCAGTAGAAATGAAGATGACTTGAATGAGGTCACAGCAGCTCAAGTATTATTTCAAAGCCTGGATAGCTGTCATTTGAGGAAGTCTATACTGCAACCATCAAGCTGAATAACTCTGATAAGTCTTCAATTAAGATCTATCTGTAAGATATCTGAGAATTGAACTCAGATATTCAGAGACTCAACTGCAATATTTTATCCACAAGAAACAACTCTTTCCAGGAATAGGAAATTCTAGTATTGGATAGGAAAGGACTTACATAATAAGATGTCTAGCTGAGTGTTCATAGAGGAAAGTTCTGTTTATCAAACCTGATTTCCTTCTATGACAAGGTAACCCACCTAGCTAATAAGGGGACGTCAGTTGATATCATCTTTTTGGATTTCAGCAAAGTGTTCAATACAGTCTCTCACAGGATCCTTCTGGACAAATTGGTCACCCACACCTAAATGAGTGGCTCCTGTCATTCCAGTGCCCCTCACAAATTGGTCACAAATTGGTTGTCCAGCACACAGCTGGACAAACACGTCATGTGGTGGGTGACCAATTCACTCATGGGTCGAGCACAGAGGGTAACAGTGAATGGGGTGACATCAAAGTGGTGACCTGCCACTGGTGGGGTTCCACAGGGCTCCATCTTGGGTCCTATTCTCTTCAACATCTTCATAAATGACTTGGATGCAGGACTGGAAGGGATACTAAGCAAGTTTGCAGATGACACAAAGCTTGGAGGAGCTGTTGACTCCCTTGAAGGCAGAGAGACCCTCTCTGCAGAGAGACCTCAATAAATTAGAGGACTGGGCAATCACCAACCATATGGAGTTCAACAAGAGCAACTGCCAGATTCTACACCTGGGATGGGGCAACCTAGGATGTTTGTACAGACTGGGGAATGAGATGCTGGCAAGTAGAACTGTGGAAAGGGACCTGGGGGTCTTGGTCATTGGCAAGTTGAATATGAGTCAACCGTGTCCTGGGAGGCATCAGACAAAGCATCACCAGCCGGTTGAGGGAGGGGATTGTCCCGCTCTGCTCTGCAATGGGGAGGCCTCGTTTTGAATATTGTGTGCAGTTTGGGGCACTACATTATAAGAAAGGTATTAAGCCATTAAAGAGTGTCCAAAGGAGGGCAATGAGGATGGTGAAGGGCCTTGAGGGGAAGCCATATGAGGAGTGTCTGAGGTCACTTGTTCTGTTTAGCCTGGAGAAGAGAAGACTGAGGGGAAACCTCATTGCAGTTACAACTTTCTTGTGAGGGGGAAGAGGATAGCAGGCAGTGGTCTCTTCTCTGTGGTGACCAGTGACAGGACCTGAGGGAATGGCCTGAAGTTGTATCAGAGGAGGTTTAGGTTGAATATCAGAAAGAGGTTCTTCACCCAGAGGATGGTTGGGTGCTGGAACAGGCTCCCCAGGGAAGTGGTCACAGTACCAAGCCTACCAGAGTTCAATATTTATGAGGACCGCTTTATACTGCTTCTTCATGCAGCTTGTTCCTACTTAGCTAAGTGATCTCTTTTCACTCCTGACTTTTTGAAGGTTAGCAGGGCTTACACAGAGTCAAGGCCTTTTCTGCTTTTCACACCAACCCATCAGTGAGGAGGCTGGGGGTGCAGAAGGAGTTGGGTACAGACATAGCTGGGCCAGCTGACCCCAACTGACCAAAGGGATCAGATGGTGTCATGCTCAGTCTATAAAGCTGAGGAAGAAGAAGGAAGGATGAAACATTTGGAGTGATGATGTTTGTCTTCCAAAATCGCCTTACATGTGATGGAGCCCTGCTTTCCTAGAGATGGCTGAACACCAACCTGCCTATGGCAAGTGGCGAATGAATTCATTGTTTTGCTCTGCTTTACCTATTAAACTGTATTTATCTCAGTCCACAGGTTTTCTCGCTTTTCCAATTCACTACCCCATCTCACTACAGTGGGAGTGAGAGTTGCTGGCTGGGGTTAAACCATGACAATCCTCTTGGTGCCCAACATGGGGTTTGAAGGTTTTGAGGTAAGAGATTTGATTGGAATAAACTAGATGAAATTTATAGCTGTTATTGCTGTTTAGCTATGAATTGACAGGTTTTTATGCTTGCTAGGGGACTTGCTTGCCCTTATGGTAGTCTAGTGCTTCCTGGTGGCTGCTTCTTTTACTGCTGCTGCTTGCTGTAGTTCTGTGCTGCCTATCACCTTACCTATGCCTGGGAACATTTTGATAACAGCAGTAGTGATGCACCTGGTTTGGTCAATGACCAGGGCATCACTGCTGTTTCTATACTGCTGTATTGGACAGGCTGAAACTCCAGTGTGAACCTAAGCCGAAGGATCTGTGACCTGTGAATGAGCCCATGTGAGAGGACACCCTGAAGCGTCTCTGGTCATGAATAAGCCCACTCCAGAGGAGGTGTGTCTCTGTGCTTGCATCCATGCCACAGCAGGTGTACCTGTGAGGGACTGTGGCCCAAGGATAAATCCACATTTGAGAATGTCCACCTTGAAGCCTCTGTGGCAGTGGATAAGTCCATGCTGCATCAGGTATACCCCTGAAGAGACTGTGGCTCATAGATAGGGCTCTGCTTAGAGCAAGTACAATCCCAAGGGACTACACTCTGTGAATAAGCCCAAGCTGGAGCAGGGGAAGGGAGAGGAGTTCATTGCAATGTTAAACCCTAAGGTCTGGTCCAAAGGGACCAGTGGTGGAGATTGTAATGGAAATACATTTAAACTGGGGTAACCAATGATTTGAATTGCATGTTATAGGGAGTACTGTAGCAGGAACTACCTGAATCAGTGGAGGACAAGTCTTACAAGAAGCAGTGCAAGTGCAACTGTGGCCTGACCTGAGCTACTTTGGCGCCCAATAACCACACAACACACCACCTTCTGCCATTCTGTGTGACCACCAAAGAAATGTTTAATGTAATAAAACTAATTCCCAATTTAGGGCAGTGTAAACAGAGAGAACTTTCACAAAATGTATTTCACTTCAAAAAAAAAAAAGCATTAATAATCTATCTGAAACCACAAAAAGAAAACCCCAAACCAAACTACAAACGCACAATAAAATGCTTGTCTATTTATTATGTTCCTCCTTGGTTCTTTGATATGTTTTCTGTCTTGTACTGTTTTTATTTAAAAGTCAAGAACAGTGTAGGGACAAATATTTGTAAGTCAAAAATAAAATTGGGTAAAAAAGTGTAGCTGCTATTTAATTTGTAGAGGAATGGGCCTGCTGAAGTCCACAGCAGTATATGGTAATGTCTGCATTTCATCTTGTGCTTTTAGTGCAGAGCCAGTGACAAAGACAGGTTTTCCTCTGCTCACTTTCGCAGAAAACCCCATTAGAGTCTGTGTTTTCAGACAGAGAGTCATCTCTGACCATGTGAAACCACAACCATCTTTCTTTCTGTTAAACATTGACCTGTCCGCATTGTGACAGATGAACCGCACCTACCTCATAGCTTGTATAACTTTCTGTCCTTTTTTATCTTACTTCAGCAAATACTGCACCTGTGCTCCTGTGTTGTACATTCTAGTCCGGCATACACTGAGTGTAACAGAACCATTACAGGGATTTAAGTGTGAAAAGGTTGCAGAGAGTGGTAACATAAAATTTTCCATTCCTCAGCAATGAATGGGAAGAGGTTGAACACAAATAATGGTGTATAATATAAGGCACCTCTTAGCAGCTGCTGCTCTACCTTGAGTCTCCAACTTTGCTGATGAATTACCATTTTGTGTTGCTTGGTGTCCATCAACTTGCAGCAACTAGCTGTACTTGAGGCACTCTGTATTTACACTGAGGAACGTTTCAGCACCTGCATGTTAGAAATAAAGAGACACATTCCTCTTGGTTTTGGGATGTGATTGCCTTTTGTGTTCAGAAATCAAACACCAATAGCTATGTTTCAAGGAGATGAATTAGAAGTACCTTTCCAAAGTATAACTAACTCACATATTTTGCTTTCATTATTTTCTGTCAGCGTACAGACAAGCAGTGCTTCAATCAAGTGATACACCTGCCAAAGTGTAATACCCTGTATAGCTGAAATGTCTCCTCTAAGTTAATGTCTGCAGGTAGATTCCCAGAGTGAGGGCATGTATTCAGTTGTGGGGAGGTCTACGTTTTACCCCAGCCACAGTATGGAGGCATCCCTTACCTCCTTCTGCCTTTTAATATATTTTCTCTCCTCTGTCCAGCTGAGGAGGGCAGTGATGGAGCGGCTTTGATGGGCACCTGGCATCCAGCCAGGGTCAACCCACCACAAGTCCAATCTCACTTCTCCGCTGTGCAATGCAGTGCACAGTTTCTCAATACTCGACAGATCCTGGCAAGCCCTAAGACACCCTGGCTTACTTACTGACTTTCCAGCCTGCACTGACAACGTATTTGGGCCAATCTTGGAGTTCTAGGGAAACGAAGTAGAGGCAACAGTTCCACAATCAGAACTGGAGTGGATTGCAAAGCTGCATACAGAACTGGCTTCTAGTTGTTCTTGCAGTTCAGCAAGATTCAACCTTCTTTTCTACTATCTGCTCTTCTATCTCCTAGCGATCCGCCGCTGTGATGTACAGCTCCAGATGTTTCTGCAAAGAATTTTTCCGTTTCCAAGCTCAGTTGAAGGACATCTTGGATCATACTTTTGCTTTCTGTTATCAATTGCAACCCAGTATTGTAGATACTCTTCAGTAATTTTGCTTTTCAAAATTTCTCACAGTTTTTGAAGTTGTAATACCAGAAACCAAGAAGAGTGAATGAGGAAATAGGTTCTTAATTGAAGACAAAGGGAAGGTTGTTTATTGGGAAAGTTTTTGAGAAGTGGTCTCCACAGCCTTACATAAGCCACAACATCAAAGGATGTAAAGGACTGCAAGAGGCTCTCCAATTCCTGAAGCATTATCAGATCACATAGCTGACTGCTCATTGTAATCCAATGCACACTCGTCTGCAAAGGTCTCTCTCTTAGAGGCTCTGAAGATTTCCCACAAGTAGCTCATCTTTCATAACATGTGATTGACAACCTGTCTCTAAAAGATCTCCATCATGTATTTTCCTTAAGTCCCTTGTTAAATCAAGTGATTTCATAGTAACATGCTAGAGTTCATGGTGTCATCATTACTCTCATATCATATACTGATTATATTTGGCAATTGAAAGTCTGAAAACCATAATCAAGAAGCTGTATTTAAGGTAGAAATATTTTTATTCTTTTAAGCATTTCCCCCTAGGTTGCTTAAGTCTCTTCCAAAGAGTATTTCCTAGGAAGACACAATCTCTTTTTCTATGACTTCCCAGTACCAGCTGTGCTGGATCCTAAATATTCTTTGTATTCTTGACCTCCCTGAATTTTTTGATGAGTCCACACATCAAGCCCTGGAAAATATCATAGTTCTACAGACAATGACTTGATGAAACTTGTGGCAATAAGCACTGTCTGAACTGTGATGCACAATTTACCTTGTCTTTATACACCTTTCAGTTGATTCTTCTCTAGGCCACCATATGACCATTTTTATTTGTTTCCTAATTTTCTTAGTCACATAAAACATTTCTTTTGTCAAATGTGCAAATGAAAACACACAAAAGAATACCTTTCTAATCTTACTTGTCAAAAGATTTCTTAAACGCAGATGTTGGTGACATCCTGCAGAAAAAACTAAGCCAATGAAGGTGTATTGAAGCACTGTGAGAAACAAAACTGTGTAAACACACAAAAAATAATATTTCACAACTAATATTCAAGTACCACAAAAATATGTAATGTTGTAGGAAACTATTTGAAATATGCCTTGAGACACCTACCAAAAGATTGCTTGACAGTGAACAAGCAAAAAGAAAGGCAATTATACTTGCATACTCATTCAAAAGGTTGTAAAATTAGGTCTTCTGAATTGGAAACATATTTGATTCATATATTTTTCTATAAGAATATGAAATTAATGGTGAGAAATAAAAAAGCTACATGGATGGACGTAAATTATGACTCGAAAGTGAAAATTATGGGTATAGGTTATGTTCTTGATTCTGGAATATCTATGCATGTTATAATACCATTTGTTTTCCCATTGAATTCCCTGGGTTTCAATGCAATAACTTACAGGAAAAAACAGTATCCATTGAATCAGATTTTGTGTTGGAATTTCTCTTAGCCTCAGTCTGTTTAGACTGTAAAATAGGAACAACTTTCTTTCTTATTTTTGTCAACACAGAATATGATTTTTTATAGTGATAAATTCTTGAGAAATATTGGGAAAAGACTACATTATATAAAGATTCATATATGGAATTAATTGAAGTTTTGGTTGTTTTTTGTGATTTTTTTTCTTTTTCTTTTTTTTTTTTCTTCTTTGAACAGATTATCCTATCTCTGAAGAATATCTAGATCTTCTGGTATTGTCACATGCAGACAGTGAGTAAACCAGACTTCTTTGCCTCACTTTACCAAAAGACATTTTAATCAATTTATGTATGAACATACCTTGAGGATGGCATGAAAAACAACACATTACTGGAACGAAATAAAGACTTATGAACTGCCTAAAATAAATAATATATAGGGTAAAAAAATAAAGAGATTTTGACAAAGAGAAGAGGTGGAGGATGATCCTGGAAGTCTTTGCACAAAGAGACCCCTCTATCCAACCTAGCTGGCAAAAAAAAAAGAGAAGCACTTGAGGTGAGTCATCCATCCTTCTCCACAGTCTTGGCTTCTGCACATACGTAGGAACGAGTGCACATTTGTGACACAGGCAGAATGATCCACCTCACACCATGGGTCCAGCTATGACAGCAGTCACTGAACGCGCTCCAAGACTGAACATCAGGGAAGAAAATTATTATATCTGTTCTATATGTCAGGCTCATAGTGACACCCTGAAACATGTTAAACTTAATGTGAAAACCATAAGTGGCAAGTCTGTCAAAACCAGAACGAGTTATAAATTTTTTCAGTCAAGTAGAAGTGTTCTATTTTTTATTTCTCATGAAGTCAGGGAAGAGAGTCTGCTGGTTTGAAGAAGGGATTAAGTGAGACAAATGTAGTTATTAAAAATATTATACTTTTCTTTTGGATAACACTTCACAAACAGGCATATTTTACTGTATTAGTAATCTTGTATTAGAAAAATAGGTCGAACTCTTAATAAGGGTCTTAAGACAGATTCTTTTTTCACTGTATTTCAGCTAAAACATTAAGCTTTGTGTCTTTTTATAAGTTTTATGGCTCCTAGTTAAAAATACATACGCCACTTCCTCTAACCATAAGTGAGAAAAAGCAACAGTCTAAAAGGCACGTTTCGACTATAAATCCTCAAATAACTGACGTTTAACACTACCAAAAGTAAGAGGAGGGCCAATTTCAGCTCACGGGACCACAAACTAAACCGACAAACTGTCAGAGCCTGCTGTGCGCAGGAGAGCCAGGGGAGGATGTACAGAGGCAACGCTCACCTGTACAGAGTGCTGTACTTCAATCACCTTGCAGATAAGATCAAATACAGCCTGAGCTGAGTTCCTGGTACAGCCTCCTCCCCTGGGGGAGAGAGATTCAGTTCTTACACTTGCACTTTGAGGTGAATGAACTTGAGGAATTAAGAAGTTGTTACAGTCTTTAGGTAGTGGGAGTCTAACACTGGTGGAAGGAAGGCACGTACTTCGGCTTGGCAAGCCTGTGTGCTGAGTGATTGTGAGTAAAGAGCCAGTCGGGAACTTATAGGGTTGTGATTGTGACCATTTCAGCAGGAGTTTTCCTTAGAGGCATAAAAGCTTTGTTTTTATTCCATGCAGCTCTTAAATTCTCATCCACCTCAGCAAAAAAGTACATATAAACTCAAATATATTTGACTGAAAAAAATAATCCATAGCAAATTAAGGGCTGTTGGAGTAGTTTGGTCCAAAAAACATTTTAAGGTTCAATAACTTTACATCTGCTATGCTTACTGTTGTGAAGTATTAAAGAATTAATCTTCGTTATAATGCTGCCCATAAGATGAAATATCAACTTTTTGTTTGTTCAGGGCAATTACTGAACAGTAGTAAAATGATACCTATGCTAAGGCTGACCTTTTATTCCTCATGATATCTACAGATCATTTCAGCTTCATTTTATGCTGCCTGATTAAAAGAAGTGTCTACTACTATTTGTTTATCTAAAGAAAGTGTCTGACCACTCCTAGAAAGGGCTGGTTTCCATTCTTCATTCCATGTATGCTTACAGGAACTAGTTAAAATCTGGAAAAGATGTTTCCTCCTTGCAAGTGAAAAACTAGTGTGCAGGGAGAGCAAGTGATTAACTGAAATAACTGAATCTGTTTCAAAATGGGCTTAAAGTCTAAAGTCTACATACTGAATTAACCATAAAATCACTAATTTGTCTAAGCTAACTAAACTTAGGGTAAATAATTTATCATGCAATTGCCAACTGGTGCCATTATCTAAAAACGAAAAAAGGCTAACAGTTTTGGGATAAGATACACTGCTGAATGATTATGATTAATGTTATATTTGTTCTGTTTTATTGCTAACATTGAGGCATGTATTTATTATGTAGCATTTTTTAACAAACCACAGAATCCTTGATCTGAAAGGGTTTTAGAAAATTGCACATTCTGTCTCCCCGATCCAAAGCAGTGTTAACTGTACTTGTGTTGTCTCTAGATAAACATGCACATCAAACTTCCAGTGGTGAAAATTTCACAGCATTTCCAGTAACCTATTCTGTTGCTTTACTAACTTTACATTACAAAGGTTTTCCTGGTATCTAGCCTGAACTTCCCTCACTGTCTTTTAAAAATCTATTCATTAAGAATGTTTTATTCTGTATCCTACTGCAAATTTTTCTAGTGATTTATATACCAGTAATTGCCATGCTTTCCCTCCAGAAACCTTTTCTTCAGGTTGAACAACCCAAATTCTTTCAATCCTTGACACCTACACACAGGTTGAACAACCCAAATTCTTTCAATCCTTGACACCTACACACCTAACCATTCCTGCTGATCTGCCTTGGGCTTCCTCCTTTTGATCCACATCCTTCCTGAATATACTCCAAGAGAGATCTCATTGGAGATAGGTAAAGAGGAAGGACTGCACATGCTGGTCAAAATTAGGGTTCACCATAGGAAGCTGTCTGTCTGTCTATCTCAGTTAGCTATCTTTTTCCTTATTAGTTTTGTCACTTTGAAAGCCATCCTGTAAATGCTGGTGCATGATAAAACTGGGGGGAGATGGGGTTTTGTGAGGAAAAAAACTGTCTTGTATATAATTCACTTACAAGGCTGAGTGGGTCCTACTCACATTTTTTATTGTTGTTTAAGGCAGCGTTTGCACAAATACATCTTTGTTTCCAAGGCCGCAAGCAATTTGCAATTAGCCTCTGTGACTGCTAGCTCTGGAAACCAACCAAAAAACCAGTTCTTTTTAAAATTCTAATAATGAAATGGAACCTAGAGTACTGAGAATATTTTATAAATTATACTGTGCCCTGAAGTGTTATTTGTCTTCATGGCTACTATACATCACTCCTAAGTTATCCCTCTCAAAGTTGCAAAGATAAATGCCTCAGGACAATAGTTCATTATATTCTCTCTCTAGGTATACCTCATATAAAATAGAGATGCATTACCCAAACATTGCCTATGGAAGACAATTTGCAAACAGCTGCCCATTTTTTTAGAAAATGCAAAGTAGCAGTGGCAGAGGGACTAAGTCTACAGGGTCAGAGGTGAAGGCCAGAAACACCTCTAATCTAGAAGAGCTCAAATACTTGGCTCCTGCAACTTGACAATGGCCAAATTACCTAAGGTGGGACCCTGAGCTTCACTGGTTCCTTGAGATTTTTTCTGTTTCTGGTGTAGTATCTTACTCTCAGGGATGGCATGTTTTCCACAGTCTAATTAGAATTTTTCTTTTTTAATGGAGAACAATATCAAAGAAAATACCATGTATGTAGCAACAGCTCTTTGATGCTCCATCCCAAGGCTATAGTGTTGGGAATGGAGAGAAGGAAGGAAGGATAGGTTAGATCGCTGCAGAGACCAGCTGTCTCCTGGAAGACAGTGAAGCTAACTGCTTCAGTGATCTGTGGACCAAGTCAAGAAGAAGATGGACACAAAATATGGTGAATGATGAGCAGAAAGCACAGCAGTCAACTTTCTTTGGAATAGGAGAGCTAAAAGTTTGTCAAGGTATAAGCACGTATATGCATATCCCATGTTACTAACAAAGGTGAACAATGTTTTTAAATTCACATAACAGTTCCTACAGATCTCCATTTTTGTTTTAGTAAGTGAATATTGTTACGATAGATTGTTCCAGGACTGTTCCAGGACTTCCTTCATTTTGTAGAATCTCTGATGAAACCATATACACATGGGAACTTAAGTGATTGTAATCAAGACATTACCTTTTAATGGGTTAATTTTCAGGCATCCAATCCTACAGTTTCTAAATTAAGACCAAAAGGAAGTGCTTCAGCTTCAAGAATTTCAGCATATTTTAATTCTTCTAGAAAAACAGTACTAAGGTAGAAAACAGACTTTAGTTTGCAGGGTGAAACAAAGTGAATTTAGACAAGATCTCTAATTATGTGAAATGCTTATTCATGATGTTTTCAAAGGAAATGGTACATCAGTACTTCCATGGCATACTCAGTACAACTCTGAGGATTTTATTTTCTGTTAAATAGTGAGTTAGAATGTCTACTTATACAAGTTCTGATACAAGAAAATTTCTTTTGAAAAAAGGGTGTTTTGGATCTAATATTCTTGGTATTTTGGATCTAATATTCTTAGCCATGTTCAGATGGCTCTGGTGTGTGTAACCAGGATACTCTTTTTATATGCCCAAGACATATTTGGACGCAAGGTTACTACAACGGAAAGTGATGTATCTTGCAAAAATTCTTACCAGCAGTACTTCTTTTAACACTAGCAGTTGTCTTTATTATTGTTCCTATTTGGAATCTGCATCAAGTTTACCTTCTGGATTAGTACATTCACCTCAATATAATTTTCCACAAATAAGGAATACATGTATATTTAACATTAGCCATTCAGCAAGCTTTTATTTTTTTTCTGATTACAGCACTGTAATGTCGGTTAACAACTAAGCAGAAAAAACAGGAAAAGAATACTTATATCAATTATAATCAGAAATAATTTCAAAATCGAGATAATTGTTTAAAAATTGCAAAACTTTGTTGTAAAAATCTGCATATTTTATTTGACTACTGTGTATGGGAACAGCACAGAGGAGTGAGCATTTCTGTGACAAAATGTCTTCAGTATGAGAGAAGACATTAATTTTTTAAAATATATTGTCTTTTTTGTTGTTGTTGATGTTGTTTGTGATACCATTTTATCTCAAAATACCTTACATAAAACAGCTGAGTGCTTTCACAGCTGAGTGCTTACATAATACAACATTCATTTTTTCAAATATGATTAAAATACATTTATTTGCATGCAGGATGATTAATAGGTGAATCTTACACCAAAGGAAAACAAAAGTAGAATCCTGAACCATGTCATATCCACAGTCTAATTCCAGCCTGTCAGATGATAATGTTGCCAAAAGATTTATGATTGATGCTCTGTCTTCCTCTCTAGTTAGTACACAAAATCACTATGGCTTTTAAGGAAGAATCATTCCAAATAAAGTAATCATTTCAGTAGGGGT